AATTCGAAAGAGAGATCTAATTCATCTTTGGATGGCTAATGGCTATATTTCATGCAAAGGAGGATGGGAACCGGAAGATATTGGTGATCAGATTTGGAATGAATTATGTTTGATATCGTTTTTCCAAGACGTGGAGAAAGATGAAGGCCAGATGTGGTGCAAGATGCATGATCTTGTGCACGATCTTGCCCAATCAATTATGAATGATGAATGTGCAATGATTGAGTTTAACAGTTCAAGTAATATATCCAACGAAAAAGTTCGTCATGTAACATTGGTTGTCAGGCCTCGGGATAATTTTAATATCACATCTCATAAAGTTCTATCCTTACGGGCATTACGACTGCAATCAACTCCCTCATTAGAATATGAGGAGTTTTTGTGTGATTTCAGAAAGTTTGGTTCACTGCGAGCTTTTGATACAGGAGCCAGACGAATGAAGGAGTTGCCATCTTCAATTGGCAACTTAAAACATGTGAGGTATCTGAACCTTTCCCGTGCTCACATCAAGCAACTTCCTGATTCAATTTGTAGTCTCTTGAATTTGCAAACATTAATTCTAGATGATTGTTAAAAACTTGAGAGATTGCCCCAGAACATGATGTACCTCAGAAGTCTCCTACATCTTTATCTGTTACGTTGTCCGTTAATTGATGAGATGCCCCCTAAAATTGGGCAGCTAACTAACCTGAAGACATTAAATACATTTGTTGTGGGTAAGAGCACTGATTGTAGTCTCCTAGCTGAATTGAATTGCTTAAACCTTGAAGGAGAAATTCATATCGACCACCTTGAGAAAGTGAGTAATCCGATGGATGCAAAAGAAGCCAATTTAGTGGGAAGGCAAAATCTTAGTTGGTTGGAACTATATTGGGGATATGATTGGGCTGAAAATGTTGAATCTGAACTAGTACTTGAAGCCCTTCAACCTCATCCAAATCTAAAGGAGTTGGGCTTAACAAGTTACAAAGGTACTCGACTCCCGCTCTGGATGAGGGGTTCATGTCTTCAAAATGTAGTTATAATCCAGCTCTCCTAGTGCAAAAATGTAGTGCGGTATATTGAAAACGAATATCCTGGCGGTGGAGGATTCCCATCTTTGGAAGAACTCTATGTTTACAGTTGTCCGAAATTGGAAGGTTTGTCAAGGGAAGAGGGAAGAGAGTTGTTCCCTTGTCTTCGTAAGATGCAAATTCGTGATTGTCCTAAATTGAGCTTCCTGCATCTTTCGTCTTCCAAAGAATTGTTCTTGCAGGACAAGTACACCATGGTACTAAATTCAATATCAAATCTTAGTAGTCTCACTTCCTTAACTATTCGTCATGATGAAGAGACGGTTTGTTTTCCAAAAGAGTTTCTGAGGAACCTTACTCTTCTTGAGTCACTATCGATTCAGAATTGTCAAAAGCTTAAAGTGTTGCCTCAAGACCTTGCAAGCCTTGTCATATTGAAGTCATTGGAGATCGAAGGATGTCGAAATCTCCAGTCTTTGCCAGAGGAAGGGCTACGATGCCTTGAATCTCTCCAATCATTGCGCATTTATAGATCGATGCCCGAAGATTGCATCGCATCCGACCAGTATTCAAAGCCTTACCAAACTCCAACGCATAGAAATTGTGTTTTGCGGTCGTGAACTGGGAAGGCGATGTGAGAAGGGAAAGGGGGAGGATTGGCATAAGATAGTGCACATACCAGAAGTCTCCATGTCCCCGTTTGTTTTTCGCACTAGCAGTCGACTCTGGATTGTTAGTGATGAACAGTAAATTAGCTTGCGTTTGTTTTGATTTTTGTGGTCCGGATTCGTAGTCCCTTCGGCTTAGGATAGGCCTTGTGCAATGGATTAGCAGTCTGGGCTAAGAGGTGGTATTAGAAGTTAGTCGGTTCGGCTTAGTGAGTTACTGGATGTCTGCTGGGATGTCCGGTCAATCAATTACAAATTTTTTTTTACATGTTGGATATTTTTTTTTAAACATTACTGTTTAATGATTTTATATTTTTTTGTTAAGTAAAAATTATAATTTTATTTATTATATTATATTATATTATATTTATTTTATATAAAAATAATTTAACAATCCTCACACTAACAACTATCATCAAAACAAACACAATTTTATTAATACCCTTACTATCAATCCTCTCACTATCAATCTCCTCACTAACAATCTCCTTACTAATTCCCTCACTATTAATATCTTCCATTCTACCTCTGAAAATAAATAGGGCCTATTAGTCAGGTATATGATTCTTCTTTTGCTCACTGTATTATTAGTTGGTTTACAACTGTGACACACTATATTAAATAAATAGCCAAGGGGTAACCCACTAATAAACAAATATTTTTTTTTAAAAAAATCATCAAATAATAAATTAACATTCACCTTAATTTTTTTAGTATCTAAATTTGAATTTGTATATTTTCTCCAACTCATAAAAGTTGTTAAACAAATTAATCTCAATTTGATTGAGATTTCAACAATAAGGTTCTGTTTGTTCCGCTATAAAATATTTTTTATGTTAGGTGATTTTGTCCAAAAAGAAATTTTTATTTTTATTTTTAGATGTTTGGTTATCACTAAAATATTTTCTACAACGAAAATATTAATAAAGGACCAATTATAGAGTAAATTTTAAAAAGAAGAAGAATAAAGAAAAATAATATTAATATATAATTTTCGTATAGAATTAAACATAAATGACGTGACAACAATACTCTCACAATTATGAATTATAATAATGAAAATTTTGATTTTTAATGAGTGGATATAAATGTAACATACCATTATACATAGATTTTTTGTATACAAATTAAGTTTGTATACTATTTTTCAAGGGATAAAAAACAGCTTTAATCCTTAAAGTATGCATTTTTTTTTTTTAATCCATTAACCTTCAATTTGGTTATTTTGGTCCTCAAAGTTGTCAATTTAAGTAAATTTAGTCTTATCTCTAATGTCCGTTTAAATTGATAATGGAAAAAATATTTTATCTTTGGGTAAAGGACAACTTTGGTCCCTAAAGTATGCATTTGTTATCATCTTAGTTCCTCAAATTTTAAATTTTGTCATTTTGATCCTTAAAGTTGTTAGTTTAAGTTATGACTAAATTGACTTAAATTGACAACTTTGAGGACCAAAATGATAAAATTTAAAATTTGAGAGACTAAAATGACAATAAACGAATATTTTAGGGACCAAAACTATCTTTTATTCATATTTTTGTTATCAATGTAGACGGAGGTTAGACTTAGGACCAAATTAACTCAAATTGACAACTTTAAGGACCAGAATGACAAAATTAAAACTTAAGGGATTAAAATGAAAAATAACGCATACTTTAGGTATTAAAACTATCTTTTATCTTTATTCAAGAATAAAATAAGACAAGGATTGAATATAACAAAAATAATAATCCCAAAACTTAATTTTGATCAATTGCTCAACCATAATATATGTATAGGTGTATATGTACAGATATGTATATATAGAGAGAGGGAAAAAAGACATTGTATGAAACAATGAGACTTGATATATATGTTGAATAGTATTGACCGTGATATTTTATGGCGAAATAAACCTATCCTAAGACATTGGGTGTAATAATGCACCAGGACTTGTGTGATGAATAGTACCTCTCATGACAAACATTTGTCATAAATTGATTAGGCTTGACATATTTCGCATGATTTATAATTTGAACTTCAATTTGTATTGTCAATCACAATTATTGGTTAAAAATAGTTACTCATTTTCTTTGAATTGTTTTGTATGTTTTTTAAAGAAAGCTTGCCCAAAGAAAATTTTCACATTCAAGTGCATCTGAACTTCTTGAATTGAAAGAACTTATTTAATGATTGGTTTATTCAATTCTAAACCTTGCCGTACATAAGCAAAATTTGAGCTAAATGTTCTTCTTCCAAGCTCCTTTCCTTCAATATCGTCAACTGCTTCTTTAGCTTTTTTATAGCTCTCACCGTCTTAACTATGTTTCATCAATAATGCATACATACATAGTTTGTGAGAACAATCGTTTTGAAATGGTGGTCAGCATATCTAACCTTCAGCTAGTTCATACAAAGTAGGACAGATGTAACAAATTATTTGAAGAAGGCAAATCATTTGTTTTTTTGAACCTAATTATGTTTGAAGAACATAAATCATTTATTTATTTTTAACCAAATTATCTAAGATGGTCTATTCAGATTGGTTTTGCTTTTAAATGGCCTTAGAAGCATAAATGTCTAAATTTTACTTTCTATGCTGATGGTATGAATTTGTGGTTACCTTTGACAAAATTGCTTCTGACTCATCCCAGGAACTTGAGAGTTCATTGAGTCCTCCATGATTCAGAGATTGTAAGTTTCATCTTTATAGGTTTTTGTTTTCTTTGTTTTTTTGTCATTGGAGGTAATATTACTGCTTTTGTGACAGCATGTGCTGCCATGCTCTTGGGTCATGATGGCTGCTGCTAGTATTAAAGTGGCTGTGGCATCAGATGCATTGTTGATGGAAAGGTTTTGGGCTGTTTATGGGTTTGAGGTTATCTAATAGGAGGTGGATCGAGTCAGTTGTTCTGTTATCCGACTTTACTGTGTTAGTTTCCCTTTTGCAGAATAAAAGTTAAATACAGACCTTATTTGTCAATGTGTAATAATGTCAATGGCAGGATATAGTGGGAGCTCTAGTCTGCTGTATGACCTCTTTTTGTGCTTTCTATTGTTTGCCATGATTTGAAGATTAATGTCTAAATTGACATGAACTCAAAGCTATAAATGTCTAAATTGACATGAACTCATAAGCTCCCGTGTCCCTCAAAGGGCAATAGAAACTCTGCACAGCATATTGAAAATGTCTAAAATCAAGGAACAAGCATAGGCCCTGCGAAATTTCCTTTCATGTGAGCCCTCTCCATACACCAATTGGTCATGTGAAGAATGCAACAAGCTAGAATTTATATTGGTACCAAAATCAAGGATTAAAGAACAAGACACAAACTATTTGAAAAAAAAAAAAAACAAACAGAAACTCTATTCATCTTGCACCTAAACAACAAAATTTTCAGTTTTCAAACTGAAATTAACAAACAATTGCTAAATGTAGTTATAAATCTCCCCTAGAATGTACATATGAGCCAAATTTTCATGGTGTCCATTGATCTGTATGGGGAACAACATGGTAAACACAGCATCGCTAACCCAGAAACTCTCATTCTCTAAACCATAGCGTACATAGATATATAGTTATGTACAACTTTTACTCTGACACTGTTCGCTGGTGATTGAAATGGTAGGGATTGGTTCTTCTCTCTTTCCAATGGTATTCAAGCTAGGCGGTTTGGCTGCTCCGTAATAAAAGAATGCCATTATTTTTGACAACTCATCTGCTGTTCGAATCGCTGAATACCAGGAAAAAATCAATTATAATACAACTATTATGATTCAAGGCTGAGGCTGTCAAGAATATAATTTATTTACTAGAAAATTTACCTTTCTCACGGTATAAGATCTTTCCAGCTTTAGTGAAGATAAGCTCTGGGAAGACGGACACTTGTAGAGCAGAGACCAAATCAAGCTCAACAACAGCATCTATTGCAACACACTGTTTGGTGTTGGTAGTAGAAAATAAAATAAATGTTAAAAGGTGGGATTAGGATAATAAAAATAAAGCAAATGGCTTTACTTACTCTTGGTGATGGTAGCTGACAGTTCCATATGATATTTACAGCTTTCTCCAATTCATCCCGCATCCTTTCATTTTCCAGTGGTCTGCAGAGATTCATAAGTTTTCATTAAATAATAAAAATATACTCTATAATAAATCTAGCATTTTTTGCTATAAAATCAATCATGAAAGTTTGACATCTCATTAAAAATATTCTGATAGCTTCCAATGCAGCATGGCAAATCAACATCAATAAACATCACCAATTAATTGGCCCAAGCCTTCAGAAATTAAATAACAAACAGAATTTTTCTTTCCCTTCCTGATTAGACAGTGATTGCTGTAAGCATACAAGAAATTGTGAAAGAACACTCGACTTGAGTAGTTGTAAGTAGCAATATAGAAAAGTGTGAAAGGTCAGAAGACAGAAAAGTGTGAAAGGTCAGAAGACCAATTAATCCATGTGCATTGACCCATTGGAAGTGAACTTCTATAAGTAGAATGAGAAGATTGAACACAGATTCAATGTGTAAACCAGATAGCCATCAATCACATAAATTGAAAATTGGTACACAAGATGGGTAGTTGTTACCAAGGAATATATAGAAAAGTCACAGGTTCACCAAGACTAACAGGAGAATCTTCATGAATTTGTAATTATATACAGTATGAGGCACCAAAAGAAGAAGATCATAGCATTGCAGAAGTAACTAGAACTTCAGAAGATCATATCGCTTCCAATCTGGTAAATGGGAATCAGATCCATTGATGCACAGGCATAAAATGAAAATGAGAATTACAAACCATACTAGGAAACAAAAAGAACATGAAGCAATGTTGCCCAACACTGCTAAGACAACTAGTACTTTATATCAAATGGCTGATGAATGTTTATCCAGTCAGAATTCCAGACAGGCATCAAATGGAAATGAGAATTACAAACCATACTCAGAAACAAAAAGAACATGAAGCAACGTTGCCCAAGACTGCTCAGACAACTGGTACTTTATATCAAATGGCTGATGACTGTTTATCCAGTCAGAATTCATAACCAAGAAAAAAAATGGAGCAACCTGAAAGGAAAAAAAAAAAAAAACACTGAGAACTAACCTTCTATATCGATTATGCACAAAGACAATCAAAGGACTGAAGTCCTTGAATACAGTCTCTTCCCATTCTCTGGTGGTGATGTCTTTGATTGGACGAATGTAATTGTCATCTTGCCACACCAATTCATTTTCACTATCATAATTCTCATCATCATCATCCTTCTTGACATTTTTAATAGTAATCTTGTCAAAGAATTGACCCAAGCTGAAACCCCACCCATCAGAATCTTCAGGCCAATCAGGATCCTCCTCCTCCACAACAAGTGGATAATCAGCCAAAAGCTTCTGCATCTTCTTCCTCCTCTCGACAGGGTCTACCTCCTCTTCGACATCCGGATTCATATCAATCACTTCTCTAATCTTCCTCCTCCATTCTTGCCTCTCTTCCTCATCCATAAGTAAGGGATCATCATCCTCCCCATCATTCCCACTAGATGCTTCTCCATCCTTATTCCCCCCATCGTCATCAGGCTTGAGTCTTTCAGCTATTCTAGAAGCTCTTAATTTGCCTAATCTGAAACCACCAGCCTGCCTTTCATAATCAAATTCACAGGAAATATACATCAGGAATATGCAAGGTAAAATAATTTTTATAGCAATTGATGTTACAACAGAAAGAGGCGCACTCGGGAAGGTGACTTTAGAAAGTTTGGTGATGACATTGACAGGGTAGAATTGTCCATCCTCGAGGAAAGCACATCAGTTTTCCATTGTTTTCCCTTAAACTGATTAGTAGTAGTGGTAGCAGCAACGGAGGAATAAGAGGAGTCTTTAAAAAATTGCTCTTTAAGAGGATGAGAGAAAAAATGTCGAAACCCAATCATATGTTGCAGTGCCATTTCTGCATAACAACACAAAGCAAGATTAAATGAAGAGTACAAAGTTATATGTATATATATATATATATAGAGAGAGAGAGAGAGAGAGAGAGTATAAATTCAAAAAAAAAAAAAAAGGAATAAACAAATGAGTTTTCAGCAACTGCATGGGTAAAAATTCAAAAACTCTAACTCTTAAACTTGCTTCTTTCCTATTGTATTCCAATCCATTTTTTGAGCTGTATGACTTATTTTTTGTTTGTTATCCTAATTATGAGAACCACTATAAATATTATCATAGGTGAAGAAAATGAGGTGTTAAAAATGCTACATAAAAGCCATACATATCTATTACATTACAATCAAGAAATTAAAAAATGCGCAAGGGATGAAATTTATGATAACCAAAATGATCCCACAAATATATGAATGTGCTAATTACAAATGCAACGGAAATCAAAACTCATCTCTAATGTTAAAAAGTAAAATGAACAGATTTATTCCAAGGAAAATGCTATTCCACCAGAATTCGTATACAGAATTTTGTAACCATAATGATGTGGCAGTGTTATTTTGGGTAATTAAAGACATCTCCATGAGTTCTTTCTTTTGAGATGATAGCTCAAAACCCAGCCAAATCATTCAGTATAACTTTTCAGCATAGATTTTCGATTTGTATATTACTACTCTTATTTCACGTACACAATTGTGCATAACTATTTACTTGCCTTTTGAACAAAATACCAAGGTAGGTAAGCATTGAATTTCACTAGAAAAACTGGTTTAGGTGGCAAAAAGGGCAAACAAAGCACAGCTTGGTCCCAAACACACATGACCCTACAACTTAACTTTCATACCCCCCAAACAGAAAAGCAAAGAATCAGAAAAATTTTGTGCCTTTCAATTGAAATGATCCCCCAAAAAACTCAGCAAAACTGAATAAAATTAAAAGTAAAACTATCCCCAGCATGAGGGGTTGTTCCAAAAATTCAGCAAAACACAAACATATATCAACCAATGTTCAATGTGTATGGTAATAATTGCATCTATAAAAAGCAACCGAATCATGAAGGGCTAGTGCTCATCTACTGGGTTAATACACCTAAACCCTAAACAACAGAAACAAAATCAAATAACCCTAAACCATTAACAGAGAGAAGAAGAGACTTGAGACCACTGAACGAATGCTTGGCTTTCAATTCAACATGTGCATGTGTTCATCTTGCCTTTGTTTTAAGAATTCAACATGCTTTTGTGCTAAACATCTCAATTGATCATCTTTTGGAAGGTTGAAGCTCATATCATTACATGCATGTTATGTTTTCAAAATTTCAAATTTACTTTTGGAATAATTCACTTGCTTTTGGGCCTTGATTTTGCGAAATGACTTTCAATTCATGATGTTATACAAGTTTAGACATGTTTTCTGAAGTTTTTGGCCCAAAGGATGTGTTTTGAATCTTTGAATTTGAATTTTGGAGCTTAGAGAGCAATCTGGAAATTCTAGAATTCGCACTCTTCGCTCGAGCGGTGGAAGTTGCGCTCGAGCGAAGAATGCAAGCTCCCAGTACTTTTGCAGACATGAGCACTCTGCTCGAGCGACAGAACCTGCGTTCGAGTGATCACTCTTATTTTTGAACCTTGGCTCGAGCAAAAAAAGTTGCGCTCGAACATAAATGAGAAATCTCAGAAGTTTTGCAGACCAAGGGGTCCGCTCGAGCGACAAAAGTTGCGCTTGAGCGAACTGCCTTGTTTCAGAAATTTTACTAAGTGTTTTCCAAATGCATCATTGCATCCTCATTTTGTCTAAGTCATTCTTAGGCCATGATTAAGTATCAATAATGAGAATAAGAGTTAGAAACACACGCTAAGAAAGAAGAATGATAAGTTAAGCACTTTGGGACAAACGTTCAAGAGTATCCGTCACGTGTTTGTGTAGATCATGTGTTAGCACTGCCTAATCAGTTTGTTCTGTCCACGTGATCTGTTCTGTTATTGGAGCTATGTGTGAGTAACAACTTTGTAAAGTTATGTTTGATTATAAGTATTTTCTAATTGATATGATATGATCTGTTTTCTGAAATGCTATTTTGTAAATCGTGAATGAATGTCCAGTTTTCTGAAATATATTTGTGGCATCCTTAGTTCGCGTGGCTCTTGCCCGGGGATAATAATATCGTGGCCAATATATGCATGTGACTCTTGCCCGGGGGTAACAATACCATAGTCTATGTTCATGTGGCCCTTGCTTGGGGGTAATAATATTGAGGCCTAAGTTCACGTGGCCCTCGCCTGGGGGTAACAATACCATGGCTTTTTGTGCACAAAGATGTTGAACTTTATAGTCGTCGGTACTGACTATGCATATGGGTCTTTATGACCAATCTGACCTGTTAACTAATGGATGTACCATGTGTAACTATTTATGAAATTTGTATGAGCATGTGAATCTGAATCTGTTCTGATCTGAAATCTGATTTCTGATCCTATTTTGGACATCAGTCATAAACCACTTTACTTTGTTGTTATTCACTAAGTTCCAGCTCACTGTATTATTTATGTATGTAGGTGATCAGGTGCGGGACCAGACTTAAGCTGTTGTTTGGAATTCTGTTTTGTCAAGCTAACCATAGTGCCTCCCGAAGAGGTTCCCAAGTGTTTCAAGCGTTCAAAACAAGTGCACGTGGTGTCTGTTTTATCTTTTTCCTTCTCTCTTTTGGGACAAGGCTTTTGTCTAGACTGTATATAGGGCTAAGTCCCGTTTTGTTTTATCTGCTTTGGGTAATGTAAGACTGATATAAATATGACGTCACATATATGTGAATATAAGTTTTAAATTTTCTGTCCCATATATGTTTGCACAGCTCTATGGACATTATATGTTTGAATAATTGCTTCCGCTAGCCCCTTATTTTGTTGATCTATTTCGGTAATCCCAGGATTACTGGCTGGTCACGATGCTAAACCTATAGGGGCAGATTTGGGTCATGACAACTTTGGAGAATTTTCATAGGCCATTAATGGCTAAAATTTAAAAACAACCTCTTCTCTAAAAAAATATTGAAAATTTTGATGATAAAGGTTCACCTGGGGGCATGATATTTTGCCAAACGGGGCAAAAAGTGACAAGCCATTAATGGCTAAAAAAGAAGAACAACCCATTCTCTCAAAAAATGTTAAAAAATATCACAAAATGATGGTAAAAATTCACTTGGAGGACATGATTTTAAGCCAAATGTGGCTGAAATTATGTACCCACGTTTATTAAACGTGAATTTTTTGACATTGTTCAAAGTGTCAAAATTTATGAATATTTCATAACATTTAATTATGTGAGTTTTGGGATCTAATATCTACTTTGGATTTGTGAATCACACCAAAAATTAATTTTCATGACATGATTTGAAAAACAACAATGGGTGAAAAATGCTATATGTTGTGAATTCTCTTTAATTAGCCAAAATGTGACTAACGGAGAATTATTTTATTTTTAAAATAAGGGATGTGACTCTTTACTATGTCACTCAACAGAGCCAAAGATGGGGTGTTTGCCAATCGGTAGTGATAGATTAAAAATTACTATGGGTATAATATAACTCTTCAAGAATTTGGATTATTTGCATCATAAAATATTTTTTGTCAATTGTCACGACCCAAAATCGCTCCTAGAGGTTTAGACCGTACCTGGCTAGTAATCCCAGATTACCCAGTCTCGAAGACAAAATTTCAAAAAATATAAAATTAAACATATGGGGCCTGAAGCGAAAGCAGAGTATAAAATTTGTCCTTTGAGCTGCGCATACATGACATGAACGGTAACATACATATCATCTCTCTCATCATACCATAACATTTACAAACATTCATTATATATACATAATCACAAAGTACATATCACAATTAAAAATTAACACATAATTAAATAAATATAATTATGATATCCGCGTTGGGGTCGTCACATCAATTGTGGTAAACCGCCTTACAAATCATTCAATTGGATTTCATGCTTCAATCCATTTAAATGAGGGGGACATTATTTGCACCACATTTTATTTTTTTGTTAATTGTGGCCTATTAATTATGGCTAAGTTCGATTATGGTCTATCAATTAATATCAATTAAAATCATAAACTATTTTCAAAAAATAACCCTGACCACATTTGTTTTTATTATTATTATTATTATTTCTCCCAACAAGCATGCTAATGTGGCATGATAAATGTGTTAAGAATGTGGCATGATGACATATTAAATAAAGGGCCAGAAAGTTAGTCATTGCAGCAATTGGAAAGTTAGTTGCTGAGATCAAGGAGTCAAGATCAAATCAGGCATCAAATCTCCAAAATGATTCCTATCAAACATGGGATATAGATAATGTTAAGGTAATCATGGGCTGTTGAAGAAATAGTGGGCTTGCGTTATCTCTTTCTCTCATGCGGCTGAGTCTATAAATAGGCCAAGAGAGATACAAAGAATCAATCAATCATTCACAACCACTCACAACTAATTCATGAAGAATTATTTAGGAGTAGTGTTAAGTTAGCCATTTTAGGAGTAGATTAAATGATAGTTTTCCAACCTCCACTTCTTTTTCTTCTGTTGATTGCTGTATTTCATCATTTCTTTGATCTTATTTAAGTTCTTGTAACTAATAACAAGTGACAATTTGATTGAATAAATACATATTCTGTTATATTTCATTCATTCTTTACTTAATTACCTCTAGAAAAGTCGTTAATCTTTTTAAGGTATAAAATTCAATCACAAAACCTAATTTTTATTTATTTAAAATTTATTTAAATTTGTCGATGTCAATCAATCACTACCATTGGGCTCAAACTAAATTTTTTGCTCTCGCAAACAAGCTGAATAGTTCGTTGTCTAAGAAATTGTTAGTTCTTTCTTGAAGTCTATTTTTTTTTTAATCTATTTATTTATTTATTTTATTACGCAATTGATGTTTGTGGTGGATGACCAAAAAAAAAATGGAAAA